AATAATCGAAATTTTCACTACTAAATTCCTTACATAAATTAGGATATTGATCCAATGTCTTGTTTCTAAAATAGGATCGATCATAAGTTGGATTAGTCCTAGAAATTAATACAGGTAATACACTTGCTTGAGGTATGGCTGATGAAATCATTCGTACTAGTCCAGTTCTGGAGGAATTACTTGAAAAATTAGAGTTATGAGTTGAAGGAATAGGTGCACTTATCTGGTCATTCTTAGTTTTTTGTGAAGTATTCTTTGGCAAATTTTTTCTGGGACATAATGTCTCAGAAATTTCAGTCACATGATCTGTTACCAGAGGTAATTTTTCTGAAGATATTCCATAATCTATAACCTTTTGAATTTGTTCATTAGTAAGCTCTGAAATAGAAGTTGCACTATATGATTTAATATACTTGATTTTATCTAAGCCTACTTGTTCGATAAATTTATAGACTTTCTCAGCTCTTTGAATTTTCTTGTGCAAACTATCTCGCGATACATCTCGAAGTTGTAACCCTGTTTCTTGGGATCTCTGTTTACAAAGCAAATTAAACATTTTGTAATGGAATTATACAGTAAGCCTCTTGCCTTCTTTTCACCAAATTTACCTCCACTACTTTCTATAATTCCATTGAGCTGAATTATGAAATCTTTCACATAGAAGCACCAGCATAAAATTTCTTCCTGATTAGCTCGATTTGCTTTATCTTCAGTATCAAAAGCTTTATCACATAACTGAGCTAGATGTTGTGAGGCCTCATCAATGCTAGATTTATCAGAGGTAACTTTTCCTGGACATAATGTCTCAGAAATTTCAGTCACATGTTTCACGCTTTTGACTGATTTTGTTCTATTGATGAATCTTGTGTAGACAATTTCAGAGCAAATAATTCTTGCTTAAGCTTATTTACATCCTTCCTCTTCTTGCACTTTGAATCCTGTTCGCTACATATCTTTTCTTTTGAAAGCACTTTCCTGCGATCTGAATTAGCTGATACTTCTGATGATATGCTATTGCATAGCTGAGTAATCGAGTTAAGAAAATGAGGCCTTTTCTCTTCAAGAGATATTGGAAGAGACTCTTGAGCTTAAAGTTTCTTCTCCCTATTGCATTGTCTAATCTCATTACTAATCTTTTTCTTATGCACTTCATCTAAGAAAGCATCTGTTTCCTTATCTTCTAAGGACATCTGGTCACAATGGTCCATAACGGATATATTAACAACTGATACCAATTGCTTTGCAATAATCTCTGAAATCGATTCTTTGAGTAATGAAGTATCCATTTCCTTATCTACTAATGGTTTCTCATGATGCGAAATAGCTTGATCTGCAACTGAATTGAAGTTAGATAAACTGTCGTTAGAAGAATTATTTCCCTTTGAATCATTTAGCATCTGTCTCTGTTTCACTTTCGTGATTCTATCTCTAAATTCAGCATTCTCAGACACAAGTTTAGTAGTATCTGCCTTATTTTTTTCTAGCTCCTCAATTCTGGCCTTGAGCTCAGCATTCTCAGCATCACTTCTCTTATTTTCTTTCACATCCTATTTTAGAAGCTCAGCAATCCTGGCCTTAAATTCAGCTCTCTCAGCCTTAATCTCGGCGAATTTTCTTCTAAGTTCAGGGATCTCAGTATTCTTATCCTTAAGATCATCATTCTCGACCTTAACCTCAGCAAACTTCTTCCTAAGCTCTGTAATCTCGGCTAAGAGCTTGGCATTCAATTCTCTCAATGAATCAATGGATTACATGTTCAATAATAATTTTTTTTATATAGGATGAAATAATTCAAAAGTTTGTTAGCATAGATATAGACGGGAAAATATTCTCATCAGAATTACACTGTAAAATGTAGCTTTATTGATACAGAAAATAAATTATATAGTTCAATGATACGTAGATTTATTTTATAAAGTGAAATGAAGCCTCTATACTAATGCTTACCGGTGTTCATTAATCTAATCTATACTAATACAATATCCCAACATTATTTCTAATCCAATTTTATTTGTCCTAACAAAATGGTTGTCAGTAGAAGAATCAGAAATAAATTAATAATATTGGCCTTAGTAAAACTCACTGAAAGTTTATGTTCTCTGCTTAATAAGGTCCTTGAGATTTCTGAACAAAAAAACATAGATATTAGTTTTATAAGCTCTGAGTTGCTTCCTTGTAAATGCACAGCTACAACCGAAATATTTATGCGGTTGAGGATCAGTATTCTCATGTGACATTGTGACACGTGGCTGATTTTGATTGATAAAATTATTTTTGTATTTGATCTTACTAAGGAAGAGGTCAGAATTTGAATTACTGACTCACAGCTTGTCAAGAGTAGTTTATGGAAATATATATATATGAGGCATATAATCAAATTGTTTTATCAAACTTTCTTTTACCAACCTGGATACAAACTCTTTTGTCATCCCAGGAACAAACGAAAATTGAGGAAATTTCTCTACCTTCTGATCTAACGTATCCAAAAAGGTCTTTATCTATTTTACTGAAAGCTAATTTATTTTTGAACCTTATTTTTAACTATCGATTTTCGTGATTGCAGGTATATCTACATCATAGTACTTTGTTTTGTTTTAGACGAGGAAGTTACAGATAGATTTATATTTGATATCTCCGTTGAAATGTGGACTTTTATGAAGATTTCGCATCTCCAAGATGGTATTAAAGAGAAGGCAACTTTTAAACGTTCCTGCACATAAAATCAAGTTATGGAAAGTAGCTATTCCTACCAAAGACATGAATGATGAAAAGATGAAAATACTTTTCAACAAGTCTCATGAATCTATTAACGTTAAAGGGAACTCGGGGTGAATTATTGGACGCAGAAAATTCTATTAGTAGCAAAATTGAAAATGTTCCTGCTGATAATCATATCCACATCATCATGAACCGCTAAAGCCTGCCACCACTGGTAAGTATCTCCCAATAGTTTACCTCTCGAACAAGAAATTCGCGGATCTTTTATTAATTTATATCTAATTTCTTCCTTGTGCTAAATTAAAGTAGGATCATCTTCTGTCTTAGCAAAACGGCAAGGCGAATCTCAAGATTATAACCATAAGTCTGTTGCTCCTTCAGTCACAGATTTTTGGAATAAACTTTCAGAAGCGCAGATCATCCTTAAATTTCCAAAAGATTTTAACAAAACTGCATTCACTCCATCTAAATACATGAAAATTGAAATTGTGCTGGATAGCGATGTAATGTTGAATGCACAAGATGAGTTAATATTTAATGATAGTAAACCTGTGCTGGAATCAGTAGAATCATTGAATTTTGTGAAATTTTTACGTTTCTGTGAATCACCAGATGGAATTGTTTATGGAATAAAAACATGGGATATATTAATAAAGAAATCATACCTGCAGATGATTGAAAAGCTTAAAACTGATCGTATTAAAGAAGAAATAAAAGGGTGTACCATAGTTGGATCACCCAGCATTGGAAAAACACACTATTCATTATACCTTGCTTTCTATATTACTTATCGCTATTCTTCAACAGATTTTGTTTATCAACAATTAAATGAAGGCAAATCTTATACCCTTCATATCAACCAAAAAAACAAAAGTGTAATCTAACTTCCTCTAGGTTTAGGAGACGAATACCCAGCAAATAGTTACTATATTGCTGATTCTGTAATCCCTTCTTTATGTAAGACGATTTTCACATTTCTAGTAACGACACCAAAAAGTGATTGATGGGAATAATTTATAAAGACACATCCTAGAAATTATTATGCTCCAATTTGGACTGAGGAAGAAATCTGGAGTGTTTGGAATTGGAATAATCATTACAAGAATAAAATATCTGAGACTCGAGTCAAGGAGCTGATTGAGAGGTGGGGATGCATACTACGACGAGTTTTTGTTGAATATAATGATGAGCCAGATCTTGATCGTTTACTTTCTCGCTGTAATATTCACAAGTATCTTCAAAATGATGGGACAGGGTTACATGATAATTATTCTGGAAAGATTATACATATTATTCCTAATGATGATTTTACAAAAAAGGAATATGCTTCCGTTTCATATGAAATAAGTAAAGCTTTATACAATTACTATGCAAAGAATACAAGAGAAACAATCATTAAAATAATTCGAGATTTTGCAAAGACCGCCAGTGGTCCATTAGCCGGCAAACTTTTTGAAATGATGGCTCATGATATCTTGTGAAAAGGTGGTGATTTTAAGGTGTGACGCTTAACTGAAAAAAATGATAATTTATTTTCTGAAGAAACAGAAACACTCCAACTTCGTGAGTTGAAGATCAACCAGTTCCAAGACATTAGAAACATAGCTTCAGATTATTATAATATTCCCGAAGTTGAAAATTTTGAGTCTGTCGACTCTATTATACCTATGTATGGTAATCAAGCTAATTATTTATATCAAATAACAATAGCAGAAACATATAAAATCAAAGTAAATATTTATTTATATTAGCTTTATATTTACTATTACAAACTAAATAAGTCTACGTTATTTAGGTAAATGGTCTTACTAAATTACAAAATAAAATGGATATGGATCTACTGACGCATCTATATTTCGTTGTTCCAAACATAAATGATATGTTTGATAATTATTATTTGCAGAACTATATTACAGTAGAGAGAAAAAAGTATGTAGGATGGAATTCGCAGACTAATTGGATTTAGAAGATTATTCAATATGAACTTCTGATCGATTTGTCAGATTTTTAATTAGATAGTTTGCTTTTATTATTATAAGTTAACTAAAAATAAAATGTAAAGATTTCCTATGGATTCACATGTACCTTTTTTTATTCAAAACAAATGCTTTATTATTTTTTTTATTGATATAAAAATATACATGGAATGGTAAAGGTAGAAAGCGAAATATATGGCTAGGCCATTTAATGTGAGTCTCTACGTCATATTATTTCTTTGCTCCTATATTTACGGAAAATTTCTACAGCTAACTTTTTTCTATAATATTGTTAAATATGAAACATATCAGATTTCTGAAATAAATCATTCCACCATTACCTATATTTACAAATTTTCGCCTAAATATATCTTTTTCACCAAAACACGAGAACTTTTTTAATATAGAATAATTTCGAATCTACAGCATACATTCCGGAGATTAAACCAATAACTTCGATAAAAAATAAAAGTGCTTCTTTTTCTTACCAGCGTATTATGAATTACGCTAGACTTTTGCTTTGCATAATCACATCATTATGTGCAACCGTAAAGAATCTTCACGATCAAAAATCACGTGAGTTTCAGGTCAACTAAGAATAAACTTTTCGACCTGAACATAACCTTTTTATTACAATTTTTTCTTGACAGTGTCGTGTAAAAATTTTTTATTAATTCAATGTAACATACAAAATAACTTTGCCTGTAATACATGATAAAGTTACTATATTACTAAATTACTACATTTCTATCCATTAGCCTATCTATTCCTCCAGATTGCTCAATGATTTTATCCTTTCATTCTCCTCGATTCATCGGCTTCTGTACTTTTTCAGTAATCATATAATATGACTAAGGACTCTCTCCACCTTGTCTTTCATATCTTCATCTTCATACGCAACAAATAAGGGTTTCAATAATTTGAACGACGGTTTCCCTTCACTGTTTAGTGTACATTCCACGAAATACCATTTGTTATAATCCTTCATATATTATCCATATCTTGCTTGATCGCAAATAAAAAATCATGTGCGTGAGAACAAATTGTTCACGCTGATCACTTTTGCCAAGAAATTTCTGAGACATTATATCCCGAAAAAATGCCAAAAAAATTTTATTATTACATGCGAAAAATAAATACAAATGTTCGGGACTGCACCCGTAATACATATTATTTTTTAATAAATTTTTTGATCCTATTCCTCTTACTAGTTGGGGAACTATTAACACTAATCTGATCCTACAATTATACCGTCCTATGTTACGTATAGATCTTCTTTCACATATTTTTCATGTTTGTTTAGGAAAAAATAAAGAACAAAGGTTAGTATGTTTTCTTTTTCGAATATATATGTAAAAATTAATATATTGCACAAGGCCTGACTGGATAATCCACTTATTTTTCTGTCACACAATCTAGCTGAAAGTGCTGTGTATAGCTCTGATCTAGGGCCGAATTCTAACTATCTCATATAGTTAAATCTAAAGATCCTGAGCTAAAATTTCATAAGTAAATATTCTAATAAGATCAGGAGGCATTAAATTTTCCACAAAATTCTCTACGTGAATATTTGGATTTAGCTTATCTACAGCTTCTTTACTAACATTGTAACATCCTCTTAAATTAAGATATTTTAAATTAAAACACGAACTAGCAATCTCTTCAATTGTTATATCAGTAATTTTACAAAAGGAAATGTCAAGATGTCGGAGCTTTGGAAAGGAATGAATAACATTGTAAATTGATATTTCAGAAAACTCTGTGCGATTAGAAATATTTAAACATTCTAATTTATGATATGAATCTGCGATTGCAGTTAGACCTTTATCAATTTTTTATTGAAATAAATTATCTAAAACAGATATATTAAGATACTTGTATGATTCTGCTATTAGCTTTAGAACTTTTCCAATGGATTCGGACTTCATACTTCCTTCAAAATTTAAATGAATTATATTTTGAAACCTGCGTACAATACTTTTGATTTTTTTATTTGAAAGCCGGTAGTCTGATATTTTAATATGAGTTAATTTCGAGCTATAAATTGGTTTACGCCCTCCTTCGGATACTATTTTTAAAATCTTTTTAATCGAGTTCGATCATCCACACCATTTAGCTCAACGCGTTTCCATAGAATAGAAATACTGCATCTATACCACAATCAGCAAACAAATAGAGTGGGGTAAAGAGATTTATCTATCAATAAGAAATGTAAAATATGTTCTAGTAATTTCTGTATATTAAAAACACTTGTATGCGTCATAAATAATATGTATTATATACCGTATCTTTAATCGAAAAAATAAATACAAAGCTTTGGACTAATTAGATTATTCAGACTCTGATTCAGTTTCAGAGCTAGAAGATTCTGAATCAGAATAGCAGTAATCTTTATTAAAATTTTCAATATAAATATTTGGATTTAGCTGATCCATGGTTTTTTTGCTAATATTTTCACATCCTTCCAAATCTAGAGATTTTAAATTGAGACATAAGCGAGCAATTTCTTCAATAGTCTTACTTGTAATATTGCAGTAACTAAGGTTGAGATGTTGGAGCTTTGAGCAGGAACGTATAACATTACAAATTGATAGCTCACTAACAAAATTACAGCAACATAGATCGAGATATTCTAATTTATGACTTGTATGAGCCAGCGCTTCAGTAACCTCATCACCAATATCATTACAGCCAATCTCTAAATGTCTTAAATTCAGAGATCTTTTGATGATAGCTATAATTAATCTATCATCCCATAAAGCTATGACACCACAAAAGTCGAGATACTCTATGCTGAAACATCTTCGCATTAAAGTATTAGCATCTTTGATATCCCTCTTACTATATGCAATATTAAGTTTTCGTAAATTTAGGCATGAGTTTAAGATGCAACTTATAGATTTATCTGTGATCCAACGTACTTCGGCAAAATGGAACTCTTGTAAATCATGACAATTTTTTGCGATTTTAAACAAAGATTTATCGGTAATATTTCCGCAGTAAGAAATATTTAGATGTTCTAATTCACGGCATGATCCTATGATCGTACATAAGTCTTTATCAATTATTGCTTAAGCATCCCATAAATTGAGATATCTTAAATTAGAATATGATTCTGCTATTATAAATAGTGATTTATCACCAAAACTTATACTTTCTTTAAAATCTAAATGAATTATATTCAGAAATGTATTCGTAATACTTTTTATTTTTTTATCTAAAAGTGAATGGTAATAAGTAATTTCTAGATGAGTTGTATTCGAAACATGAACTGGCTTATTCTTTTCACATATTATTTTTACAAATATTTCCTATTGAGTACAATTTTTCTTACTATAAGTATATCCATCTGGGAAATAGTGCCCATATCTCAGGTCATTCCCTTTAGTTCGATATATTTCCATAAGCTAGGAATAGCACATCTATACCAAAATTGGTTAACAAATAGAGCGGGATAGAGAGATTTATCTATCGTTAAAAAATGTAAAATCTGTTCTAATAGTTCTGGTAAATAAAAGATGCTTGATTGCGTCATAAATATTCTGTTTATATGTTATATCTTTAAACGAAAAATAAAATTACGTGGGTGATGTTCACTGATTCAGACTATTGGTCAGATTGAGTCATAGCTCGATTTAACTATCAGCTGAATTGATATGGGATTGTACACTTAAGTGTACCTATTGTTAATGTTAAATTATGCATATTTAAGCTTACACTATTTTCCCGCATCCATGGTGAATCCAAGAGTATTTCAGGAAATTGATCAGGCCAATCTGATCCAGTAATTATGAATTCAGTGGGTATGTCAGCATTTAAAATAATACGTAGATTACTCTTTCCTAATATAGAATAAGACTCACATAGAAACCGTTTACTCTAGGATTACTATTGTCTTTTGCGTATGCTATTTTCACAATTTTTTCACTAATGTAATTTGCATTAGC